TGTCTTTTTCCCCCCCCCCCCCCGCCATCATCAGCAACCAATCCATCGTGTACTACGATCGGCAAGTAACGTTCGTTGTGACGTCACAATTGGCTAGCTCTCGCGCGTTACGGCAGTGTGGTCACATAACCCATAGGCGCGCTTGCTCGTCTCTTGTCTTACATCAACTCGAGCGTAACTTTGTGAAGTGCATTATAGGCGAATTTAACTAACGTCATGTCGTCCCGATTAATAGTGCAGATTGTATCGATGAAGGGTTGTTTTATTTATTTTTATTTTTTTTTTTTTATAGACAAGTAATAATGAGTCGATGTAAATTCGATAACCTCGAGGAAGCATCGGACTAAGCTAAGGAAGCTAAACTTTGTTCGACTCGCGTGTTACTTCCATATTACATACGTTTAATTATATTTTAATCAAGTATAACAGTGTTTCAGGCCGCCAATGTATAAGCTGACGTGTCGAATTATAGTAGTTGCATAATGCTATAATAACAAACTCGAATTAACTTAGATTTTTATTTCGTGAATAATTAATTATAGTATTTTATTGTAATTCAATTATTATTATGTCGATCTCGTAAGTAGCTGTTGTATTGAAAATAATATTTTTAATTTAATCGTAAGTATGTTTATTTATTGCCAACAGTCGTAAAATCTTTATTAAATTTTCAATAATAAATTTTGATTATTAAATCGATAAATTTGCCACTCTTGCATTTGTTATTCGGAACATATATTTTTATTCTTTTACTTTCTGTTATACATCGAGTCATTTGTATTTGCAGATAATATTTATCAATTCTAAGTAGATTCGTTTTGAAATTGACCAAGCATAATAAAAAACATAAAATAAAAGAAAACGAAAGAGAATATTACAAAAATTAAGGATATTTTTTTATCTTTGATTTTGCGGAACGAAGCCATAATACTGAGAGAAATTTAATGAAATTTTGGTTAACTTTTTCATTTCACTCCGTTGCAAGCTTGAAATTGTAGGATAAAGAAAAGATTATATGGATAGGACAGTAGACAGGGGTAGGAGAAAAAGTTTTCTTTTTCTTTTTTTTTTTCCCAAAAAGTTTTCAAATAATGATTTACATACCCGAGTGAGCGATGCACTTCTACTATACATGACCAGGCCGTTGGGCTCGTTCGTACGAATTTTAAAAGATATACTTCCGGATTTGGCAGCTTTCCAGGGTGGAAGAACCTGAAACAAAGAGGAGCGTGCGGTTCTTATTGGAGATCTCACGGCCACTGCTGAAAAGCCCCTTTAAATCCTGCTGAGAAAAGTGGACTGGAAAATCGGCTAGCATCTATGCGACCGTTGTACCTTTTTCATCCCCACCCATTGCCAATCCATCGGCGTACCCACGTACACGCACGGATTGTCGCGATCCGCAAATGCGCATGCACACAGTCAGGGCATTGCATAACCATTTAAGGAGGCTGTGATAGGCAAGAGAGACGACGTAGGTCGTTCGGTCGCGACGTGACTCTTCGTCGCCTATCCGCTGCTTGCCTCGGGCCTTTCACAAACTCTTATTCCCCTTAGACTTATTTACAATCTTCGAATGACAGCGTGAAACTGCCCGAGGCACTTTAAATAACTCAACGTAATAAATATCCTTGTTTATAAAGGTGATCGTTTGGAGACGGCTACCGAATTGCGCGCGCCTCTTTCAATTTCAACGGTACCGCGCGTGCATACAAAGGACTCACGAATACGCGGTAAATCTACGGACTGAGCACGGATGGGAAGAAAAATTTTACATTATCGAGACTTAGGACGTGATCTTATTTTTGAGTAACGGGTATCATTGGCGCATTCAGGTTTTCGGGAAATTCCTTCTACTTTTCTTCGATTCTGGACGACGGGGTGGGTGTTCATGCGTTACTCAAGCCACCTTGCGAAATTACGAGCGAAGCTAGCCCACGAATTACCTAATTCCCTGGTGGATTAATATTTTAAATGACTTGAGCGATGTGCCAAACTTCGCTCGTACAACCTAGAGAGACGCCGCTTCCACGCCAATTTCTCGTCTACCCTCGCTACGAAATGCTGCCTCTCCGTACATGTGTGTACATACGTGCTCGCGCTCACACGATATGTGCACGATGGAGAGTTAAATGGAGATATACAGTGTATGAGTGAGTAAGACAGAGAGAGAGAGAGAGAGAGAGAGAGAGAGAGAGAGAGAGAGAGAGAGAGAGAGAGAGAGAGAGCGTTAAATAAAAACAGAGAGAGAAAGAGATAAAAACAAAACGTATATATTCGCGCGCGCGCGCGCGCGCGTGTGTGTGTGTGTGTCTAAGCTCGTTTGTCGACTCTATTCCCCACGAAATTCGTGGTTTCTCTTTTTCATTTGCGAATCATCATATACAGCCTTCTATTACCTCTGCTGGAAAATTCAATAACTCTGATTTGTTCTGCCTCTGTACAGGTTATTATTCTTTTTACATTTTTCTCTTTACTTCGCTCGCGAGAATCTATTTCTCGCGAATCCGCAAATGTATGAAAATATTTCCCCGCTGCCAGTTTACATTGAATCGTTGCTGACTCGGTGTCTTTCACATGTGACGCAAAGATATTTTGCATACCTAGCAGTTTGCATTGGCTGACTATGAAAATCATAAAATCACATATTAACTAAAATCGAAATTAAAAACATATAAATAAATCATAAAGTAAAATATTGGCTGTACGTATGAAATAATTTGAGCCCAATCTTGTGCTCAACACCTAAAGTTGTGTGCTAATTTCATGCATTTTTCTAGCACTGCGAGTCATTCAGATTTCGTAACACGCGTCACTTGTTATTAGCTTTTCTGCTCCTCCATATTATTTTTGCCGGCTTTAACAGTTCTGGAAAAGCCATGAATAATTCGGTGCTTAGAGAGCCTATTCCTCCCATTCGTCTCGCGATCCATTACAACTTCTACGTTACTTTTGGAAATAAATGATTCGACCAATCTCACGGGGTCAATGGCCACTCCTGTTTATTTAGTACCAGTGGCCGGTGTACTACGTAGTAGTTCGTGTCGCGGAACGCTGCGAGTCCAAAATTCACGTTCGCATGGTCGTCCTGTTTTTAGCAGCGCTTCAGAGTTTTGTATTCTCCTAGTCGAGCAGTTCCCTATTTTTTTTTCTTGTTCTTCTCTTGTATCAAGATCCAAAAGTGTCTGTATGACGTGCTCACCGGGTTATAACATTGCCCTCCGTACCCGGGGGGAGGCAATCCCTCAATTTCTTTTTCCAGGCCGCGCGGTCAACGAACTGGTGTTTCAGCATTACACTTCTCTCGACCTTTTCTATCTACAATGAGCCTTTCCAGTTTTTCGTTGTCCGACCCGTTGGAGGATTTGCACTTGACTTTTCACGTTGTGATAAACGAGAATAATTGTTTGTAAAGTTTAACTTTTTTCTTTTTTCTTATCCATGTGCTTTTCTGTCCGTCCGTTTATCGTGGACTTGAGCGTATGCGTCGAGATATACATCGAAGGTGCGCTAAGATGCGAAATGTGGGAAACGGAACTAACGATGTTTGGAAAATTACGTGTGAGCCACGAATAAATAGATATATTTACATAGATATGCGTGGATATGTAGATACGTGTGATCGTCAGGCTAGACGAGGGCGGTGCTTTTGCGGGAAATCCCGGGCTCGGAAAAGGAGAACCGGAACTTCGTCGTAACGCATAACTTGTAAGAGGAAAAGTTAGTTATTAGTGGGGGAGAGAGAGAGAGAGAGTGAGAGGGGGGCGAGAGTGAGTGAGTGAGAGAGATAGTGCGAGATTGGTAGTGGCTATAGACGGAGGAGAGAGGAATGAAGGTAAAGTGGCGAAGGAGGAGATATTCCGTACGGTTTAACGTCGTTACAAAGTTACCGCTTTCTTCGGATATTCAAAGTCGATGGGCTTGCTTATCAAGGCTTGAGTTTCTGCGTTAGCCCCTTCGAAATGTCTCGGGGCATGATGAGAAAAAAAAAAGCTCACGAGCTGATAGGAGTTCGAGAGCGATAAAGTTCGCTGTATCTTTGGGAGCGAAGACGAATCTTTCGTGGTACTTTTATCACCGTTGCACCTGAGATCCTTTACAAATTAATCTCTACTCAAACGCCTTCCTGGTCTTTTCTCCTCTCTTTATCCCTTCCCCACCCTATTTTTTCCCTTTTTTTGTTGTTGCATACCTCACGAAACATGAAAGCGATCCGGATATTCGTGTAAGCCGCTCGCAGAAAAGTCTGTGATGTAGAGATTACGCACTTGAATAGAAGTCCTGAAGATTCCGGTCTATTGGCTTTATGCGCGACTACACTTGCACAGTGGAAGGGGAAGGCATGTAATTTACACGCACCGTCGCTGTGTAAAACGATCGTCGAAATGCCGTCGTCGCTGCTTTGCGATCGTGGACATTTTAATTTGCAGCTCAGCGGTGCCGTATGACAATTATTGTCTTGCAATTGACATTGAGGCAAGGCCTGACATCTATAAATATCCATTTTCCACCTCGAGCTCTTCCCGATACTTAAATAGTTATTAGAAAGTATCAATTTCGAAAAGGGTAAAAGCTATTTCGATCTATCTATCTACGTGACGGTTCGAAACGAGGTCAGCTTACATTCGAGAAAAATTATTATTGTCCTTTCATCAATAAAAAGCTTATTGACAAGTAGATTACCTTTCAATTTTCACTAAAATGTAAGCGATTATTTATCAGAAAGTCGACTTTGAGCAACTATGGCATTTTCAACGCGCGTACTCGAGTGCCCGGGAAACATGCGCGAGGAAGCCATTCGTAATTGGATAATACCGGGGAATGAATTATTTTGGCCGGTCTCGTCTCGCTGCACAAACACACTCCTTGTAAATTTCCTTTTGATATAGTAAAATAACTCATTTCCAGTCTGCCGCGGCGCCGTGCCTTCCACGCAATACCGCCTATTTACAATAGGATTACCCGCGCGATAATACAAATAAAATAACAATGGCGGATTAAGCGCAGCTGCATCACGGCGCTGCATCCGCATCCGTGTCTTATTGTTGAAAAACAGAGGCGAACGGGAATTCAACGGTCGTGCATGAACGATAACGGGCCTTTCGCGGTCTGTCCATGCGACGTCGCTCAAGGGACGCAGACAGGTGGCGTGGAGTTGATGGGAGGCTCTCGCATTGTCGCTGTATTCGACCGTTACGACTGCTGCCAACCCCACGTTTCTGACTTATAGCGGCCTCGAGTCCCGCCTCCTTCTACCAACACCCACTCCAATCTCCCCCGGGGTGTGAAATAATGCGAGCCCGCGATCGCGCTGAAACGGAGATGTACGAGACGATGGGAGGAGAAGAGCTGGAGATGTCGTTTATAACCGCGCGATATCCCCTTTCGAGAATCCTCCTTGTCTCCCGAATGTCTCCTCGCTCGCGTAATGTTAACGGCAACGAGTGGGACGGTATAAAAATTGATCATGTATACTCTTACCCAGAGAGCCATCATGTATCGCATTCGGGGCTAAAGAAATTTTGATAGCGACCTTTTCGCGAGAGCTGATATGTGACTGTGTCTGTTGTGTCAGCGGCTGTGCTTGTGTGCTTGTGTGCATGTGTGCGCGGTAAGACGGCGATAGAGTACCGCAGTGGATACAGAATTATAATATCGTGGTGTCGGGCTGTGTGTATGTCGTTGTCGTTGGCGGCGGTGATCGTTATGTAATTTGCGTTTACGGAATGTTTGAAACTTTGATGAGAGCGAGGTTACGGGAGCGGGTGAATATACGAGTCGCGAGTCCTAAAATTATATAAAACATAAGTAATATAATGAGCATTAAATGCTGAAAGATACGAAATAAATAGAATCGTGAAATTAAACTAACATCCTCTCTTCCATGCAAATTATTGTGCATTTCATATATTATGTATTTTCATAGACATTATATACACCCTCATACATATATGGATGATAATTTTTTACATGCAAATTGGTGCTTGTTCTAGTTATATATATATATATATATATATATATATATATATATATATAAATATATATATATAAATATAAATATATATCTATATATCTATATATATATATATATATATAGAAAAGTTCGTTCATTGCAGTGATGGATGGATGAGCATGAGAATAGTGGTTTGTAAATATATTTATCCGCGGGAAAGTGTTTTCGCCCGAAAATCATTTCCGACCGACAATATTATATCATAATGCTCTGTATTATTATCGACGATTAAAAGAGCATTATCGAAAAACAAAGAGAATAAAAAAAAACAAGGAAGGAGACACGGATGTCACTGGATGCGAGAGGAAGATAGAGAGCGACAGAGAGGAGAGAGGGAGAGAGGGAGAGGGAGAGGGAGAGAGAGAGAGAGAGAGAGAGAGAGAGAGAGAGAGGCTAAAAGTACGAGCTTGAGATTGTAAAGGGCTTCTTGCTCCGCTCCCTATATTCCAGCGGCTCCATTCTTTTATCCTTTATTTTTATATCCAATATCTTTCGTTTTATTTAGGAAAGCTCGGCTCTGCAAAGAAATCATAGAAAAGTTTTACGAGTACTCGACTCCCCGTGCTCTTACGAACACCGCGAGTACCAAACGCCCGAGACTTATACGGATACCCAAGCTCGAATAATAGTCGAGCACACATGCACACAGATCGGTAGGGCTTCGCATCGTTGAAACGCTCGTTGAAATCGTCGAATCGTACATTTATGAGATGAAGTAAGGCAAGAGAGTGCGTGCATGTGCAAGTATAGTATAGTGATAACAGTGATTATTATATTGTCTAATACATAAGGTGAGACGCGAGTGTATGTACAGGTGAGTGAGTGAGCGAGAGGGGCCAGGAGGCTGTTGTTGGGCTCCTGGAGGATCGCGGGGTTAATGGGTTGAGGCTGGTGGCTGTGGTGCGCGGCTGGGATGGGGCTGGGGTGGGGCTGGCTCGGATAGTAAGAGATAGATTGGGAAATTTGGCGGAGGGTGGCAAGTGCATATCGCTCCTCGCTAAAAGCTAAGTTCGCGTGAAATAGTAGCCAATCATAGTGGTGCTAGTCAGTGAGGCAGGGCCGCGGAGCTATTCTCCGCAGTTACTTAGGCTGCTGCCTGCTTATCATAACCATCGTTAAACTTTGTTGAGCGTTTGCTTGATAAAAGCTGCGCTTTTGACGGTTCGCTTACCAGGTGGGACTCTGGGCTGGTAAAGGTGACCACGGTGCCGTGAAGTCGCCGGACGCTCACCGTCGCCGGCGCCTGGTTTTCCCCGTACACGTGTACCGTAGATGAGATCGATCACGAGCACACACAGACAACAATGAGGCACTCTCTTTAGTGTCGTAACAGGGACGTATCATTCGTCGTGATCGTCGTAATCATCGTCGTCGTCGTGGTCGTCGTAGTAGTCGTTGCCGTCATCGTCCTCGTCGTTATGATTCGTCAATATTTTATAATGTAAGTGCTTGTCCCGAGCGATGCAATCTCTCGTACGTGCGAATATAAAATTTTCTTGGACTAGGGAGATTTTTCATGGCAAAACTTGGCAATAAGTTGTTAGCGGAGAGCTTTACGTTAATAGACATAAATGGCGAGGACTCGTCCAGGGCTCACCGTCTCATTGCAGAGCTACATACATTCATGGACCAAGTGTTGCCCCAAGGTTCTCTCTCTCTCTCTCTCTCTCTCTCTCTCTCTCTCTCTCTCTCTCTCTCTGTTTTTCTTCTTCTCCGCAGGATGCTTTATTTTTTTATCGGGCTTTAACAGGAAATGTGAAAAGGCACGCCGCGAAGAAGAGCTCGCGAAAAGTGGGATGCCTCTGACCTCGTTAATACGTCGTCTTCTTTTTCGCCTTTCGTCCCACAACTCGCCATTAAAATATCCAAAATAGAAGTGGGTCAATGTGACTGCGGCTTCAATTTGTCCGCGTCTCCGCATGAGAGTAATTAAGCGCTCGCTCGTTCTCCACCTCCTCCCATCCCGATCTTCACCCCGGATAAATCTAGCGCGAGTTTGACATCGTCGCGGACCTAACCGACCTGCGATGCGCTTAAACCTATGACATCGCGTTAATGATACAAATCTGCTTTAACACCCTCGGACATTTAAACGCGACTCCACCAATCGAGCGCCCTTACTTGTAAACGTCACTTTAAAAGGGGCTTCCTTTATTGCCCCCCTCTCTTTTGTCGCGTAACTGAAATGCTTCCTCGATGATGGAGGGCCAGGGGAGTTACCAGTGATTCGCCTCCGGCTCTTAATTAAGGAAACTCGCGTATTCCTTCTTTTGTTGCTTTAATTAGTTTCAAGCTCGGCTTTCCGGCGTCCGCTCGCGCGCTGAAATCTTGCACTCGCCATTATTTTTCGCCCGCCTCCGTAGCCGATTCGTCTACGGCTAACGAAGTTGTCTTCGCAGTCAAGGGGCAAATGTTTATTACGTTGACGATGCACAGACACGCTAACGATAAGTTGGTCGATATATGTCATCGTGATGTATGTGCGTGAACGTCGTGAGGACAAAACGGTTCGTCGGCCGCTTGTTACTTTTTGCGTTAAAGAGAATAGGAGAGAAGGGGTTAGGATGGTCTGTAAAGCGAATGTCTTCGTTTAAATGGATCGTCGGATTTTGGTGCAGCGGTTATTAAGACGCGAGACCGCCAGTGATCATCTCGGATTTCCACATTCCTCGAATTCCCGTCGCGTACAGCTGTCGCACTATAACGGGGGCCTGATTTTCCAGTATCATTGTACATAGAGGAAAACCCAGTGCTTTTGTTAAACGTTACCGCTGATGAGATTCACTGAGAATTTGGCGGAGCGGAGGGAGATAGATAGGTATATATATATATATATATATATATATATATAGAGAGAGAGAGAGAGAGAGAGAGAGAGAGAGTGGAAGACAGTGAGATAGAGTAGGAGAGAGTTGGAGAGAGTGGGAGATAAATAGACAAAAGACCAAGAGGGAGAGAGCCATCCCAGGATGTTTTAAAGATGGGACAACGATGCGAGGAAGACCACCATAAATATCGATTAGCGTGTCGAAGGATTTGCGCCTATCCTTAATCTTGTAAATCCGGTGAAAGGTGCGAGAAAATATTTTCTGTCTGATCGTAAATTCGAATTTAATACCTTGTAATTATTATAAATCGCAAGCGGACGCGGCCCAAGAATTTCCGTGCCATGATGCAATTCATATTATACATTGCTTATAAATTATTACCATTTGCTATCGCGTTTATTCGTCGTGGTTCTATATTTTTCCGCGAATCTTTATAATACTAGCCGATGAAAAATGAGCGCCAATTTGCACTTTTATTATTATTATTCTTATTAGTTATTTATTTGACCCGACAGAAAACGGTAAACAATCAATGTGAGCGCGCTAAATTTATATTTAACGCTTGATTAATTATAAAGCTCCACGACACTTCTCGCCTCAGTTGAAGCAATTTACAATTATTGCCATTTTGAATATAAAAATGAAAATGGGGGTATGAGAAGAAATATGTGTATCATTCGACATACTTTATATCGAGCCGCGAATCATCGGCTTAATTATCGCGCGTAGAGTAAGAGAGGGAGCGAGTGTGAGTCAATTACGCGAGAGTAAAGAGTTAAATCGAATACAGGCGGAGGCCGTTAAGAATGAAAATTGCATAAAATATTAAACCGTCGGCGAGAAACAACTCGACGTGGTGAGACATGTTTTTTCCACCCTCCCACGCCAACCATAGAAACTAATTTAGTCGAGTGCGTAAGCACTCGTGCGCAGCTGTGCGGGCAATGAGAGCAGGAGGAAAATGCCGGATATTTGCCGAGATAACGGAATGAAAGTTCCTCGTGGCGCATCGTATACAGACTTAATGAAGGAAAACGCGCTTATTAATGGCATAAGAGCCTTTTAAAACGGGCACTTATAAAGGGGTTCGCGCGCGCGCTCAGCAATCAGGATAAAATACACCCGCGGACGGAGGATGGCAACGAACGGAGTGCACGTACATTTGATTTTTAGCAAAGCTATAGCTCCCTCGGCTCGGGTGCAGCTTTTGGCGCTGCTCCGGGATGGGGAGTAATTAAGCTCGGTCGAGAGTCGAGTGAAGTCAAGTAAGTCAAGTCGCTGCTATGTACGTGTGTAGCATCGAAATTAGAAAGGTAGAGGGTCTGCGTGCGGCGCAGACTTGCATACTCACGAGATGGGAGTCTCGGGTGGTGAAGGTGACTGGGTCGGAGGCCCTCGGCTCCTGGCAGTGGAACTCGATTTTACCCCAGGCAGCGGCACCCGGGGCGCCGCTTCGGGCCGTCTCGATCAGCTCCATACGCAACCCCTCCGCCTGGAATTCCACCTGGAACCAATAGGACCAGTTGCTTGCTTAAATCGAACGAGGCTCGCTGGAACGAGGGCGATGTGATTTTTTAAAGAATTTTTTAAAATTTACTTGGAGGGGCCGCTTTGGTGAGATTTGTCGAGATAAATGTAGCTTTCTGCAATTGCCGGATAATTGTTAGGATAATTTATATTTGGGGCTTAATAACGGAGTATAAGCGTTTGGAAATTGTTTGACAAGTTGCTGCAATTTGCCTCCCGTAATTATTATTGTGCTCATTATTTGAAATTTCAATATTCTTTTGCTGGTTGTAAGTGCTCTGTTATTCTATTTTCATATTTGCATAGGCAGAAGAAAATTAGTCTACTCCCATTTTAATTTTACTATTGCCGAGAATATGCCGCGGTTATAAAATGAAACCAATTAAAAGAGAATTACTCAGATTCTAATTTTTACCATTGTAAAGACGTTTCTTCAGCCTCGTAGTTTTATCATAAAATTTCACGAGGCCGTCAATTTACACCTTATTAATGGAAGCTCGAGGCGGTCCGTATAACTCGAAATACGATGTTAAATTATGTTTATGTATTCCAAATAAATCTACAAAGTTAGGAGTAAATATCATAAGAGTTTTAAAAAATTTGAATCCCGGCAACTCCGACTTCTTGCAGCTCTTGTGATTTCATTCTACCGTTTTCATCATGGTAATTTTTGTCGTACGAAGTTGTAACTTTCTTCATATTCTCGTCGAAAGTAGAATGGAGCGGTAGAAGTGGAAAACGAAGATGAAGAACAAAATGGAGCGTAACAGGCTATAACCGACGTCCCGGGAGTCCTTGGGCACACTCTGTCCTTAACTACTTGCGGATCATTCGTAAAAGTTTACTTGCAAATACATTCATTTTTTTATTCCTCGCTTTGGCAAAATTAAAAAACGATTACAGCGAATAAAATGCGCTAGATCGGGCAATTCTCGGCTCTCATCTCATTCCTATTTAAATTGCGAATAATTACGTAAACGTCGAGCTTCCAGCTAATAGCTTCGATGTCCGGCCTTACATCATTCAAGTTTCTTTGAGCCCCAAGCAAGACACAAAAGTTCAAGCTTATTCGTGCAGTCGTTAGTCGAGCAGGCGGGCCAGATCTCGTGAACACTGCGCGACGCGTAATCTCCGAAAAGCGCGCAGTAATGCAGAACAGTAACGATGCTCACGCCCATAAATGATAATTGATAAGAGAGGATGAACGAATAATCGGCCAAGCACTCCCTTCCCACTCCCGTAGGAAACGCGCGGCCGATCGATAATCACGACTCTTCCCGTCAAATTTATATCCTTCGACGAATAATATTTACCCCCCATTTTCACGTAACTCGTGTCCCCGAGGACGCTAATCAGGACAAATGCCCCTGCTCCACGACTTCAACGAAAGCCCGTAGGTAGACCTAATGAAATACCAACGAGATCCGCGCGTACAGAGAGCGCGAGGCTGAGTTACGGCCTTCGTCTCGACATGGCCACTCGGTCATAATTCCACTCACCTTGCGTAGACAGCCGACAAAGTTGTTGATACCCTTGGAGCCGATGAGCTCGCGAGCGTCGGCGCCGCCCCCGACGAGGATCCGCTCGCTCGCCAGTTTCGTGAATGATCCGGCGGTGTGTCCGTGCTCCGTGTACAGGCCGTCGACGGTCGCCGTCAACTGCAAAGGCGAATTCCACACCCCTTAATTAGCACTGCCGATGGTATTGGCCGCGCAATGGTCGCGCGAAGCAAACATTCCCCGGGCTAATGAAAGGGAGTGTCAGGTGGAGCGCGAAATCCCGGCTCTCCTTACCGTGTAAACCTCCCCGAGAGTATTTTTCCAGATTTCGCTCGGGAGCACGGGAGAGAGCGAGCTCCTCGACCTTAACTAAACCTTGCCCCTTTCGAGAGCTCGCACGGATGCTTTAGTGGGACTATAAACTTAGCATTTAGACAGATGCTGTGGAGAAGTTCAGGGCGAAAGTGATTTACTATGATAGGAGATCCGGGGTATTTTTCAAGCTGTAATTAGTCGGGAGCATTGAAATGAAAGTATACGCGGTTACTATTTCGCATAATGGGACGGTGAGAAATTGTGGCCGACTTGTGCCATGGATTTGCAATCTCACGTTAATTCATTTTCTTTGTCCTCTAAGCGAGATTTTTCAATTATTCATCCGCAAGACGTGCGGTAAATTGAGGAAATTGCGGAGCGAAAGAAGAGCCAAGGGAAAATACATCACGCCAATATTGGCATTTAATTTATCAAGTTACTGCGAAACAAATGCGAAATAACGACAACATTCACGAGGGTAATAATAATAACAACAACAACAACAACAACAACAACAACAACAACAACAACAACAAATGCCAATGAAAAGTATTGCCTTCTAAAGCTGCTGCACGAGCATATGTGACTTTGTTTAAAAAACAGACAGCGAACTTCGTAGCTTCAATGCTGCACTCGGATCCTAAACTTGGAAATTTCTTTTGCGACTTCGAAGCACGACGAAGAGATTCTCTTTTCGTAGAATGTAGCTTCACAAACCCATAGGAACTTTTCAAATTGATTTCTTGCATTAGTCATTTTTGTTAAAGGCCCTCGCGAGTTTACCAAACAATTAGCTGATTAATGATTGTCGATTTATAACATGCGCCAATACAATAACAATACGCGCTCTTAAATTTAAAGAGCAAACAGTTTATTAAAATATAGTTGACTATTTGCTGTTATTTATAATCATTATTATTATCGTCATTATCTTACGCGGGCTTGAAAGTAACGTATTTAATTATGAATTTTTAACAATTTTAATACTTATTAAACGTGTCTAGTTAGTATTGTGCATTCGTTGATTGGTGGGGGAGGGTGAACAAGGAAGGAAGATTCGATTACTGTTAGATTCAAACTTTTATAACGATGAAATTAATAATATCAGCGTATATATGTTATTTAAAAATGAGATTTATCTGCCAGTATAACAATTTATTCAGTGCCCACATCCGACGTTACTCATATTCATTTTCTGCGATTTTTGTAAAACAATGATTCAGTGACTGAATTCTCATATCAACAATTATATTATATAATAATCACGTAATTTATATAGCACATCGCAGAGTGTATTTTATTATTATAATGTAAATGGAAAATTATAACTAATAATGATTTGATGTTTTTATTCTTAAAATACACAAACATTCATAGCGGTGCTATACAACTCAATAGTTCATAAAAACTTCAGCGACATTGTTCATAGTATTTTCCTTCAATCTCCACCCATATTCAATAGGCTTGCTGGATATGTCATAAATGCCAATATTCACAAATATCACTAGAATAATATTGGCATAAGCATTACATAATAAGAATAGTACAATCTGATATTTTGAGTTTATAAATTGTAAATAATTGTAGAAAATTTTTATTATGGTTTCAGATTCGAAGAATTTACTTATGAAATGACAATAAAACAGGCGAATTACGTTGAGTAACAGGAATTATAATTTCATTTTTCGATATAAGTAATATTATGCATCGATTTTGTACGAAGTTGTATGAAGATATTAATGCTTGAAGTAAGAAATCAATTTGAAAATAATTTTATTGGATTAATAGCTTCTCATATATTTATTTTCATCAAATCAGAATAAGCCAGATAATAAATAATCTTTAAAAACGATTAATATCTTTTCCACATATATACGTATTTTTATTCCCATTTTTAATATAATATTTCAGTAGTTTTTATCTCATTCATCAAGCATGTAAACATATTATATTTACATAGTTGGAGATAGTTTTAGTCGATTTTAATTTATTGATAACAATGCACTTTATCGTAACAATGTAATTAATAATACCGATAAATTTCTAATGATTAAAAATGAATTAGTTAAGATGTAAATGTACGTCCATATAAGTTTATTGATATAACGAATCGTGATTATATTAAATTACATTGGATAACATTCAAATGAAATAAATCTATTTTAAATACACTCCATAAAAAAGATAGTAATCGTAGATAGTAGTTTTTATTCGATGCTGTTAAATGTTGGAAATTAAACTCATTCGGGAATAATAACAATTTCATTTTAAATGATATTTATCGAACAATAATGATCGCAGAATTTTTTATTTATTTCCACAGATTTTTACAAAATTACAATTAATTTCTTTTATCGAGCACTAGGTAATAAAATACTATAAAGTTTCAAAAACTTTTAATGTGATTTGAATCATTATCAATTAGCTGTATTAATCGATAGTTGGTTTTAATTATGATTTTTATTCTCAATGAGTCGAATAAATAAGAATCTGATTACATTATTATCATTAAATTATATTTTCGAAATAAAAAACATATGAATTTATACAGTCATCGATTAATGCTTATTAAGACCCCTTTGTGTATATAATTAAAAAATAATTATCATCAACTCAAAGCTATTTGGATTGGATTGGATTTAGTTGCTTTTTAATGGCGAATTCATGCATTTATTTTAAGGTTGCTAGAAAGTCGTAAAATAGATTTTGTATTGCACTTTTTGAAATCAAAACTTTCTTCAAGTATAATACTGTTAAGTTCTATCGAAATTCTTAAAATTGTTGATTTGGCAGCGGGAAAAGCAATTCGGCCCTGGACTTTTACTATTACAAACAAAAACTTTTTATGCGTTTTTACAGACACTTTTCTTTTTTGCAACGCAAAAAGTTTAAAAAGCAATATTTGATTGATTTTAAAACAGTTAAGGTTATTTAAAACACACATAGTTATCAGTATAATCAGCGATAAAATTCTAAAAGCTTGTATTTTTCGTCAAGAATTCACAGTTCAGGAATTGTTAGATAATAAATCTTTATTGTTCGACGATTCAACGTGAAAATTGCTATTTCTTCGTATTTAATTCTATCGTATATAATTTCGTTGATGTCCTTCTGGTTTTACAAAAGAAAATATTTCAAAAACTCCTAAGTTAATTTTCGAATTTCAAAAAATTGCAAAAACCAAAAATACAATCCTATTTTTAATAATAAAAACTTTGTAGCTATTTATATATAGAAAATGTCTCATTTTTTTTCCAAATATATGATATCTAAGAGCATTAGGTAAAAGAATTTATCTTTTCCTTTACTTTTTTTTCTAATTGCGCTTTATTTCGACAAAATAAATACTGCCATAATCCACGTAATTAACTCCCCTTAGTTCACAAAATAATTCTTGGTACGACATTCTCCGAGGAACACAATAGAACTAACAATTTTATTCGAATGACAAATTTATAGAGAGCTTTGATTGAAATAAGGTTATTAATAAAATCTTTATTAGTAAAGAATGCACAGTGTTATTTTTAACTGTAGAAGTCAGTAATTTTCCTAATGATGATAAATGGGTCACATGTGTGCCGTAGTAAAGTAATTTTAACTGGCATATTATTTATTACTTACAGCTTTACTATCTTTAACAAAGATTATTTTGTTCATTTAAGAATTCTTACTTCTCAGTGTAATAAACAATCGTTTGCAACACTGTAAACGTATTAAAGTTTTAAGCTTTTTTTTTTGTTTACAATATATATATATATATATATATATATATATATATATATATACATATATATATATATTAATTATGTTTTACTCTTATACGGATACGTTATTATCTATCAATCGAAGTGTAAACGTAAGAAATCCCTTTTACAATAATATCGCATACTCCTTAATATACATATGTATGCATGCACGTGTTTGCATATATTTATTTATTTCTTAAGTGATGTAATGCATTATTTTGAAAAACTATAAAAGACAATTACTTTTACATGAATAACTAGTGCGAATATATCGATGTTTGTTTCGTAATAATATTTAAGAAGAAATTCATTTTCAATTATATTATGGCTAATTTAGAATGTAAAAATTCCCTTTAATATTATGGTGTTTTTTTTTTCTTCAATTATTTCAATCAGTGAAATTTAGAAAATAAACAAATTAGTTTTAGTTATGAGGATTATAGGTTTGCAACGCTGAACGCGAGAAAACAATATTTGTAGTTTATAAATATGAGATTTTTAATTAGAAAATAGTATTTATGAAAATTAGTCTTTAAATTGCCATGAAATGCAACATATTTTTGTACGAACGCCATCGATGAGCTGCATTGGAAGTATTTTCTTTGTTAGTCTTCACTGAATAAAAGTACCGTTCTATTTTTTCCTACTATTATCTACAAAATTCTTGATATTATGTTTTCTTTTTAAGAAGGATGTAATTTTAAAATAAAAGCTCTCATACAACACAAAATTATTATTAAAGTCTTTTGTTATATTTAATAAGCTGTCCGTACCAAAATAAACCGCTCAAATATGAAAGTAAGGGCTTGATAATTAGAAATTTAAATTTGAATAAGTTAAAAAATTTGTCGTAATAATATTATGAAATTATGAGTACGACTTTTCTATTAACATCGGTATAGACTAATTATAAAACAATAAGTTTAATTGACTCATGTAAGAATTAATTCTTAATATCACTACTGATTGTGAGTTTAATAGAATGAAAATCGACAGAGCAATATGGTGAAATGATAGTTTTCAACTAATGTTATTTTAAAGTTTGTACTAGATAAATATATTTAAACTGAGACTAAACTGTAGAATTTGAGTTTATTTGCATATTTAATGAATAGCTGCGGTAGTTATTATGCTTAGAAAGAGTTTTATCTTATTCCCCCATGAATCTGTATTTTTAAAATAAATACAAGTTTAGTTAATGCTTGGGAGCTTCATTTTATAACATTAGTAAATTATTATCATTTATGAATGTCTATTGACACATAATTGACACATAGAACATACAACGATGCGTATCATTATTGTATAAAAATTTTGCAAACAGAATTAAATTATATTGTTGTTGAACGTTAATTTTGTAAAATGTGCATGTCAGACTAACGTATTTATAAAATTCTACTTTGCATTTGAATACAAAAATAATAAATTCAGATGTTGAAGAGAAAGCCCGTTGTACACGTTGGCTTACCTAATTTTATAAAAGTTTTTCCGGTTTATATGTAATATTATTTAATAAATTTAATCTGTCTGCCATCTTATTAGAATATTGCCCAATGAGATACAAGGAAAAATTTACTTTACCATAAGCTTACACTCAATCTAAAACTTCATTATTATTCCGAAAGCAGAAAGACATAACTTGTGCAAGACAATTGCCAAGTTTTAATAATTTTTGTTATATGACGCAAGATTAAACAATAATGCCTCCTCGGTCCCAGTCAAGTTTCGACCTTATCCAGGAACCCGTAATTAAATCCAGTGGCCAGCATTGTAATTTGAATAAGAGAAAACGTTTGTGATTATCGGATGGTTTTTAGGTGGCGCGTGGCCCAAGTTTCGGGCAAGGAGTGCTGGATATCAGTCGTCGGCTCGCGTAATGTGATCTCGGCGATAAAATTAAGAGATTCCCAACGAAGAGTGTATTTGAGATAGTGGTGCTCGGGTTAACTCGTTGCGCGACAGAGCGCCCGAGTCTTTTGGGGAAACGGCGCGAGACGCGTCGCGCCACTCAAATACGAGCGAGGCGGATGCTCCCACCTCCTTACCAAGGACTTCATTAATTTCTTATCTTCTAGCCAGGCCTTTTCCTCCCCTTTTCACGAAGCTTTCGTGCTAAGAGCTCACTCCTCTCCCCTCTATTTTTCTTGACAGCTAACTGGATAGCGGGGTGGGCATATCTTTGAAGCGCGACGGAAATTGGAGGAACGACGAAAGCTTGGCAGTTAGCCGTCGGTATAATTAAAGATGAAACTCGATTTTCAACGGCGCGTACCTTCTTACCGCTTTGCTGGGAAATGGAATAGTCTCGGGGAGCTGAGGGGATATCAATTTCTTACTCGCCTTGTTCGCCGGATGCCCGATAAGTCATTCCGGATCTCAAAGTGAACGCGCGAGAGCCAAAGAAAGCCACGAGGAAAGAGAGAGAGAGAGAGAGAGAGAGAGAGAGAGAGAGAGAGAGAGAGAGATCGAGGATTTATTGACCTCCATGCGTCTCGATGATTATGAGAGCTTAGGTAAGGCTCGGATTTTGATTAGCGAATTGCAAAAGATAATAGCGACGTAACGCCCTACCTTCGTTACGCCCTTCCCTTGTTTTCCATTCGTTTCAGGATGCAGTAGCTTTACTTGGCCGGCTAATGATTTGCCATGACATTCCTTATTATGGATAGGATTCACTAATGTTGGTAGATGCTCTATCTTGTTCGTTACATCTCCGTTGAATTTCAATGCCAGCGATACTCATTACTTGTGTTTAACAACGAGTTAGTCTTTCGCCGATAAAGTTCAATGGCCAAAGGCCGACAAAAAGTCCGAGAAGATAAAATAAAAAAACACGCCCACGTTACTTTCTATATTTTTTTTTACTATCGCGTATGTATTTTTATAATAATTCGTGATTTTCTTTATTCGCTGAATATCGAGGTGAAAGTTATCCGGCCAATTTATAAGTTCGGCCTATTATACGAAACATTTGGATTGTTCTTTTTCTTGCGATCTTTGTGCAAAATGAAGGATCTCGTCCTTTTACAAGATTATAGATACCAATACGTTATACCAATATATCAGATCTGATATTTTTGGCGTGACAACATGATGTGGGATCGTTATTTTCAGGTTATTGTCTTTAGTTCGCTCGTCGTTCAACACTCGACAGTCGCTGATTCGTCGTTAGCCATATTAGCTCTGGCAAGCAAATTCAGGCAGAAAAGATGAATGTATCGCTACCCTTAAGTCTTTTACAAATAAATCGTCTGTTTTTATAATATCCTAGCTTTACTTTTCAAATTATTCACCATGAACAAAAGTTTAAATGGAATTATTTAAAAGTCACTTATATCTATTAGAAGTGAAACGTGATGCATTATGTCTGTATGCGGATTGGTGAAATCGAATAGTTTAGCTAGTTGCGAACATTATGCTTTTAGGTCCAATACGTGATCAACCCTTATAGATTTATTAACTGTAATGAAGATGCTTGTCGTTTATCACTTGCTGTCTCTATTACTCCAAAACTTTTCAAATAGCGTGTTAAAACTAGGCGAAGGGAGTCTACGATTCGGCGCGCTAAAAAAAACTAGAAGCTCTTCATTGACGTAGATGGGAATCTTTATGCTTAAGAAAAAAGAATTACATGGAGAGTTCAACAATGTAATTCATTCTAATGTTACATGTAAATCTAATCGATTTTTATCTACTACATTCTAGTGATCGTAATTTCTCAAATACGACATAAATAAGAGTTGACAATGTGAATTGATCTATTGTCCTCCTTACATCTAATTCTACAAGTTTTATCCGACTCGCATTAAATTTCTTTTCTGGAACATCTGATGGTGCGGGATGTAATTCACCCAACTCGAATTCGGAATTTCTAACTGTGCTTCTGTCTGCGTTGAGGAAAAATTATGAGCACTTAACAGATATCATATAAAATTCTTAAATTTACCATTTCTTTCCCACGATCGGCAGTATTGATGTTCATCGATTGAATTCCGGAATTGTTCTAATTCGTAATTCTCTTATGTTTAATTTTCCTTAGGATTCACGAGGCTTTGCCTTGTGTTCTCACGCATTCACTATTTACACGTTGGGAAAACATGGAGCGGAATTCCACGGTAGGAAAAATAATTTGCCGAGAGCCTAAATTTTGAAATGTGTTCGTTTTCATTTACGCGCGCATGGAAATATCAATGAATGAGCTGCGAGTCTTTTACATTGCCGCCATTAATATCACATTGTATTGGAAATTTTTTTATCAACGTGACGCGCGCGTGCATCCTGGCAAAGGGATGGATGCGTGTCTCATGCGTGATACGTAGGAACTCGCGTACTCAAACGCCAAAGTTTCGTTAAACCGACTAGGGTTTTGGACCGTCGCCTGCATTTTCCGCAAATCGCAGAAATGAGAACCAAGAGCGAGGATGGGACGTCTCTCATTTCTTTCGACTCAGAGGTCCGCCCGAGTTCAAGACCAATCCAGGCAATCCATCCTCGCAAAATATAAACGATAAGCATTTTTTTAACAGGATTTCGCCACGGTTTGGCCGACATTATTCACGGACTCGTGGAGGAATGTCGCTCGCGCGGCACAAAGTTTGCCCATTTTTTTTCTTTACTCTTCCGGTGCTTGTGCCGGTTTGAGACTTACCCTGCAGAAGCTCGTTACCGTGGAAATCTGAAACAGAAAAGGCAACGTCATGTCAGTACCACGCCAAGCGGACGCCAAAGTGTTTCATTTCTGCTGGCTATATTATATGATTTTCTTGTTAAAGCGGACAGTCCCTCCATACTCCCATGAATTATTCCGTCGATTATTATACGGCCCACCGTCGTCGATCATTTCTCTCCAGCGAGAGTACGACGGGGAATCATCTTGTCGCAGAGAGAAAAGCTGTACGCGGGCCACGTAGTCTGCGCTCTCACAATGTCAAGTCCCTTGTACTTTAGTAAGTCGTTACAGTCCATTTACGTTTCATTTCTATCTACGGCGCGTTATGTGAACAATATTTATCTTGCTCTTTTGCTCGATAAAATGGCAATTGGGTCGAGAAACCGTTTTTAGATGAGCGAACGAGTCGAGATGGGCGACGAATGTATTTTCGCGTGCTCGATAATTACATAAGCCGAGCAAACTATCACATATAAGCTTTTAACGGGCTCGTTTTATTACTTTAAAGTAATATGCGCCGTGTGCATATGTAATTGGCATTACATTTGATGTAATGGTGACGAGCGCCAGGTAATTTAATAAGCCGTATTACGAAAATATACGTTTGTATATTGATAAATGAAAAACAATTGCTCGAATGGCAATGGTTATAATTAGAAGGGATTTTTATGGAATAAGTTCGTCGAGACAAATATTTCGAGTGGGATTTTTACTTCCTTGGAAAAGTTGATTTTCATTTCAAGCAATTTCACACGCAGTATGTGCACAGTTTTATTTGAAACTATTTCTACTTGAAATTCGAGTGTAATTTTATGACATAATGTCAAGTAAACATTGAATAAAATTGAATTTTCGTTCAAAGTGGCGTAAAAATTTAAATAAAATAATCCAAACTGTAAAAGAATTTAATGTTTACTAGCTAGATAAAGCGAGCTTTATTACAGCCGGTTACTTCTCCAAGTTGTGCCAGTTCGGCTAAAATCCCAATTGTCAATTGTCAAATAAAGCGCAGCTTACAATGAAAAACATTGTATTACTCGGATTTTTAAAAAACATTTCTTAGTACCATGAAAAATGTTGATTTATATATATATATATATATACACACATGTATATACGCGTCATGCCGATAAAACGCATAAGCTAAATAATATTGCTAAATAATGTTTAAGCTGTAGGGTAGCGTATGAAACAAACATATACGACACGACGGGCAAAAAGTTATTATAAAAAGGAATGAAAAGAATGTGATAAGTGGAATAATTATAAAGACTTGAATTGCCTATGAGAGCTTAGGAAGGTTGGCAGCAAACACGTAATTGAAAGCAGCAGCTTTTACGCGCCGTGAGCTCTCTCCAAACAATCCTGTATTCTTTGAGTCATTCGACGGACAACGTAAAATCCCACCGACATTTATCCATTATGACTCGGGAAAAAAAGGGAAACCCTGTCGAGCTCTCAGCATTAGCGTCATTCTGCTTAATCTCCAGCATTTCGAGCATTTGTTGCGATCCGAATTTTCCGAATTAACACTTCCCGATAGAAGAAGTAACGTAATTCTTAATGAAAGAAAAAAAGAATCAGGATATCAAACGCATAGCTTAAAGCTTAAGAGTCAGGCGATCATACTGCACTTGTAATCACGGATCTAGGATAATTGAACGGCGAAAAAAGAGAAAAAAAAGCCTTGAAATATTCTTCAATTAAGAGCGGCGAGCTAAGTTACGAGCGATTTGCCTCCCGTTACATAAACGCTAGCGCCGCCCATTCGTGCCCGTCAATTAGCCCTGATTTATAATGCT